TGCAAAGGAGTGAAGCCACCAACAAAAGCCTATTCAAGATGGTGATGGGTCAACAACCACTTATGCCGCACACCTTAGGTACAAGTTATAAGGGGAGCAGTCCTACGGCATTCAAAGTTTCTAAGTCATGGCATGAACAAGCTGACATCACATGGGCGTATCTTGGCAAAGCAACCAAGAAGATGAAGAAGTGGGCGGACAAGAAGTGGAGGCATAAGGAGTACAATATGGGAGATCTAGTACTTATTAAAATCCTCCCTATCACAACACAAGTCCACCCGACCACTACACAAAGCCCTTGTCCGAAGATATGAGGGGCCATTTCCTATAATCAAAAGGGTCGGTAATATATCCTACAAGCTTGAATTGCCCTCTTGGTTGAGACTCCATCTGGTCTTCCATGTGAGTTTTTTGAAGCTGTACCATGAAGATGCGGAAGAGCCGGGGAGAGGAGAATCAAAACGGGCACCATTTGGCAATACCAAGTTCTATGACAAAGAGGTGGAGTGTATGTTAGCCAATCGTGTCATTCGACGAAAGGGTCATCCTCCAAGTCAGGAATACTTTGTCAAATGGAAGCGGCTACCAAAGAGTGAAGCTAGTTGGGAACCCAAAGATGCATTGTGACAATTCAAAGACAATGTCCAAGAATTCCACAAAGAGTCGACGAGGATGTCTCCGAATTAGGTGGGGGAGAATGTGATGCCTCTCAAGCATTTCATCAAACACTTGGTGTGCGTCACCCCGACACTCTAGAACCTTCTAAAATACTCTTGTATTTGCTAGTTAATATGGTAGTTGGTAGTTGGTAGGTGGTAGTTTGGAGTTAGCTAATCTTCACCATTGATTGTGGAAGATCTAGATCGTCCATTGTAAGCTCCATCTATTATTAAAGGGGGAGGCCTTCATTTGGCCAAAACCATCCAAGAATTGTAAAGCTTTTTCTCATTAGTAAAGAGTTCTCTTCTAGCATCTCTTGTGAGTGAGTTTGCGTGAGTGTTCCCTTATTTGCAGGGCTAGAAACGTAAGCGAGCAAGGCTAACTTAGGGCAATCGTCAGGAGATTGGCACCTAAGGTCGCACGAGTCCGAAGGGAAACAGTCGGGTCATGACAAATGTAACGAATCCCACATCGGAAGCGTATTGGGGAGGTCTTGGGCTTATAAATAAGGAGAGTCCCTCCACTTAATAGGTTAGCCTTTTGGGTCTAAAACTCCTAACCCATGACAAGTGGTATCAGAGCAGACTCGATCCGTCTTTCGATGTCCTACCAAGCGCCCACGCAGGGGCGTCCATGTGTGATTATAGGTCCACACGAGAGTCAGGCGGATAGGTAGGCAGGGGGCCCCACCTGTGATGAGGGCGTCACAGGATTGGGTGGGGGAGAATATAACGAATCCCACATTGGAAGGATATTGGGGAGGTCTTGGGCTTATAAATGGGGGGGGGGGGGGGGGTCTCTCCACCTAATAGGTTAGCCTTTTAGGTGTAAAACTCTCCGCCCGTGACTCCAGGCTGTTGGATTTATGGTTGGAAAGAGGCTAGTGTGATTGTTATAGGCAATCACTTCCAGGCTCAAGATATTACTTCGGTATGTGGTGTGCTGGATAAGGAGGGTCGTCTAAACAGTTTGCTTTTGTTTTATGTTGTTCTTTATTGCCCCCTGTGGCGTGTGGCAGCACTGCTCTTGTTGTGTCTCTTTTGTGGATTCGTTATACATGCACTCAATGTATTCTTTTATGCTTTAGGTGTGGGCTGCTTTGTAAAGGATTGTACATCCTCGTTTCATTTGTTTTTTTGAGCTTCTTCGTCTCATGGTGCTGGATGGTTCTCCTCATTTAGGTGTATCTCTTTATTCTTTATAAAATTACCATTTACCAAAAATAGAATATATGCGTTATCAAGAAACTTGAATGTTGGTAGCATTGATTGCACATTTTAATTTTAAACGATATATTCATCTATGGTTGGAGCACACATCAAAATCAAGCGTTATAAGTGTATCATTGAATATGAAGTACTAAAATCATGGGATTTAAGTGGATTCATCATTTCTAACAATATGAGAACCACCAAAAATGTTAGAACTATGAGATTCTTTCATTAAATCTTTCAAACTTCAACAAAAAAGTGTGTAGATGTGTTGATATTAACATTTTGACGAACTTGAAAACCATGATTTTGCCCTTGGACCACGTTGACCTTGTCACGTTTTGCTCTCGAACCAGTGTTGGTGTCTCTAGAGTCGTCATTGACTACAACGTTGCTCCCTATAGCTGTAGAAAACATCAAAGTATACCTTATAGAAAACAAGGTACCAGGATTGGAGGAACAATATTAGAAAATGGATTAGGGTTTAGGATAGAAAAGGGACCAGGGAGGCTAATTTAGGCTATGGTCAGGTTTCACTTGGAATGCTCTAATATGAATTTTTATTTTTTTATTTTTTACATCATTAGCCTCCTTGATATAGTAAAGAAGATAGAGTTTGAGAGAATTGCTTGTTGTTGTAGGACACTAAGTTGAGGCATGAGACTGTTTTAGAGGAATGTGAAATCCCTTCCCTCTATTGAATCGCATCTTATCCACATTCATTTGCTAATTTAAGTGAGTTCACTAATTATGATTCTATTTTATATTAAGGAGAATATCCCTTGGATTATTTATAAGTAGAGTAATATTACACTAACAACTCTCTCTCGCAACTTTCTCTAACAATCCTAACGTGACAGTTTACAATTGGTTAGTTTATAATTAATTAGTAGGACCGATGGGGGATCCTTTGTGAACTGATCGATTGCAAGTTGCCCGTCAGGGTTGTGAGAGAAAGTTAATGGTGTGGTATTATTCTTATAAGTAATATTCACTAAAATAAAATTATGTTTTTGCCCTTGGGGAAATTCAGGCACGGCAAGATGAGATTTGAGTGATTATTATACTAATTCTTTCGATGGAAGGTACTTTTGTTCAACGAGGTTTAAATTAATCAAAATATGAAAGAAAACATGAGATAGATTGGCTCCGTTTGGTTCACTTTTTTGCAGTTTTTTGAAAAGTTTTTTGAAAAAAGTTAAAAAAAGCAGGTATTACGATGTAGGATTTAGAAATTAATAAAAATACCCCCTATGTTTGTTTATTTACTAAACACCCCTATAATAAAACTTTGAAAGTTAACAAAAACACCCCCAACCCACCCATTGAATAATCACAGCCGGCCACCACCTCCAGAGGGTGGCCGAAGTCACCATATCGGCGCATGACCAGCTGGATTTGCCAGTCGTGCACCGATATGGCCTTTGCCAACTAGATCCATGGTGGATCTGGTCGGAAAAGGCCATATCGGTAGCTAGATCTGGCCATTAACGGCCAGATCTGGCCGCATTTGCTCGTCAATGATGGTCAAAGATACGGCCATCGTTGATGGTCAACGATGACCATATGTTGGCCGTCGTTGACGTCTGGTTACGGCCAAAGATCTGGCCTTTTCTGGCCAGATCCATTGTGGATCTGGCCAGAAAAGGCTAGATCGACGCACTACCGGCCAGATTCAGCCTATAGTGCGCCATTATATTAGATTCCGGCTAACTTCCGGTAGTGGTGGCCGGAATCTGGTATAATGTGGGTTTAGGGGTGTTTTTGCAATTTCGAAAAAAATATTTAGGGGTATTTAATTAAATTAACAAATTTAGGGGGTTTAAAAAAAGTTGAATAATATTGTGAGTTTTTGGGCATTTTACTGTTTAACTTTTTTGGGAATACTAATAGGGGTCGTTTGGTTCAGGAATGTTAGATTACTAGGAATGTTGGATTACTGGAAAGATAGATTATCTTGGAAGATTACGGGGAATCTTTAAGAAAATATGTTTGGTTAGTTAGTGGGTATGTTATATTAATATGTTTGGTTATGGGGAATAAATTGGTGGGTATGTTATTTAAATTACTAAATTGTCCTCCTTTTAAATCTTAATATAATATTATTTTTATTATTAATTTTTGAATAATTTCTTTTAACCCCCAATATTTCAGATTTAGCTAAAACACCCCCGCTTATATAAAACTTTAATTTATGACGAAATCACCCCCACCTCCTGCCGCCGCCTGCCGCCACCATGAACTTCCGCCGAAAAATCGCCGGAGTCCCAAAAAAGAAGAAAATTATGTGGGAGGCTTCGATATGGCCGTTTCCGGCCATATTGATGGCCGAAAATGGCCATATCATGCCAGATCTAGTCCAGACTTGGCCGTTAATGGCCAGATCTGGCTTGATATGGCCGTTTTCGGCCATCAATATGGCCGAAAATGGCCATAGCGAAGCCTCTCGGAGCCTCCCACAGAATTTTCTTCTTTTTTAGGGACTCCGGCGATTTTCCGGCGGTGGTCTATGGTGGTTGGCCCACGGTCGGCGGTAGTGGTTGGGTGGCAATGGTGATCTGTAAATAATTTTAAATATAAGGGCATTATTGTCCAAAATTTTAATTAAATAAGGGTAAAATTGAAATAGGATATTAATGTAAATTTGTTTTAAAGTAGGGGTATTATTGTCCAAAAATTTTATTAATAAGGGATAAAATTGTAACAAAAAAAGATAACCCTGGTAATCTCAGAATACCTAAGAAAATAGAGGTAATCAGATTACCTCAGATATTACCAATAGTAACTACTATTGGTATTTGAAGATTACCGGTATCTTATATTACTTGACAACCAAACATGGTAATCAAGTAATATAAGATGACATTACCCTAGTAATCTAACTTAATCCCCAACCAAACGCCCTTATAATAGTATTCTCAAAAACCAACCAAGCGAGCCATTATGTTTTATTGTTTCAAGTTTTTAATTATTATGTTACATATTAATAATAATCATGAGAACAAGACAATTTATGATGATCTAATTATTATTAAAAACATAATTAAGATAAATGATATTAGATATACTAATTCCGAATTATAAAATAATTAATAAAAGAAATTTTAAAAACACGTGCAAAACATCTTTTGAAACAGATGAAGAGATCTGTAACAAACAACAACCGCACTGAATTATGATCCATGAACGCAAGATTATTGACAATTTGACATGTCTTCCTCTCAGCGAGACATCTGAGCTAACCTCCCACTCTTCATCTCTTTGTTCACATAGAAACTAAAAATCTCAGATACAGAGATATCAGAATTTCTAAAAAGAATAAAACTTAATACAGAATGGCAGGCGGAAGGAAACCCATTTTGTTGGGTTTGTTTTTGGTTATGGTAATGGGAATTGCCATTTACTTGAGGCTTTGGACTATCGATTACTCTGTTTCATCTTCTGACAACGAGTTGCTCAGGTAAAGGGCTTTTTTTTACTCCGATTATTACGTATTTGCAGAACTAAGTTTTTTTTTTTTTTTTTTTTTAAATGATATTGGTATTTGGGTATTTTGCTACTTTGGGAAATTTTGTCTAGCATTTGCCAAATGATGTTTCCGTCGATTGGAATTTTTTAGGAGGCAATTTGATCTTGCGAATAGGGAGGCAATGGATGAATCTGCAGAATGGCGATATAAATATGATAGAGAGGTAGATAAGGTTAACAAGTGTTCGAAGGAACTTAGCGAGGTATATTATATTTGCTCATTCAATGATAGAATTTTATGATTTCAATTGTGAAATTGTTATTTTATAATCGATGTTGTTATTGAAAAGGTAATTATTCGATTGTGAAATGAAATTCAAGTTCAAGTTCAGATTGTTCTTGCTTGCCTTGAATTTTACTCGATTTTTTTCTGTGAATTGTGCTATCTATGAGGTGTCATGTAATGGGTAGCTTATGTTTCCGAATTCCATGTGATGTGCTCATTTATAGTATTTTGAAAATTGTCATCTTAACTAGTCACTCATGCACATTTGCGCAATTTCTTATTTTGGTGTGGGAGGGGAAGAGGTATTGATTTGTATTTGTGGAACAGATTCCTGTGAAGGTGACATATTACAACTCATGATACGGGTCTGGTTTTGCTTGCTTAGAGACTTACAAATAACCTAAAACACTGCATAGATTATGGGATCGGGATAAACTCAGCCACTAAATCACTGTGGGAAAATTGAAACATTGTTTCTGATGGCTGCTTTTTGCTGTATCTAGCTACCTTCTCTCTTTTAGCTGGATCTTTTGTGTAAAACTTTAGCTTGTAGGATGTAGAGCAACCGTTTTGATATCTATCTATTTAGGCTTATAGACAATGCATTTTTCTGAACTGATGGTTCTTGTCAGCTTATTTATCTCTTAATTTGAGTAGCAGTGATGTATATTGGAGCACATTTTATTGATAATCATAGGTAGAGTGGAGGGTGGGGGAGGCTTACCCTATATATATACAGTATAAACCTGTCAATCCTATTAAATGATTTTAATTCTCCAACTTCTTAGCCACTTTTTTGTGGAAGAAAAATAATTTTCAAACAAAGTCATGAGAAAAAAGAAAGATATGGAGGCATTATTGTTAGAAGTCATCATACTTGCTCTTTTCTCTTGTTTCCGCGCTTTCAAATTAAATGGAAACTTTATTTTCTTCTAAACAAGATTAAAATAAGTTCAATTTATCATGTTGGTACTCTTATCTTAATTTCTCTTCTTTTCCAAAAGAAATTATATATGTTAAATTATTAAACTTATGATATTAATTAAGTAGCTTTTTATTAATTCGGTTTCCTTATATCATCAAGACTCATAAATTTGGATCCACCCTTGTTAATAGTAAAATTCAATTAAAATTTTTCTAAAGGATATCTCCAAAATGGCTACTCTGAAAATTTTTCAAACATAAATATTCAAATCATATGTGAAGAACTTTTTGTAGATGTATAATATGAAGTATGAACCATTATATTGATCTAACAGTATCCGTGGGTTTTCAGCAACTGAAATTGTGAAGTCTTATTCCTTTTTCCTGCTATAACAAATTTTAGCGGTTTTTTAGTTAACAGTATATATGTCAAACTAAATTATAGTGGTGTTTTACTTAACAACATGCATGTCAAACTATGGAAGCTTCTTTTCTTTTGATTTGTTATTTTTATCATATTTAGGAAGTGAAGCATGAGTGTTTTCTAACTTGAATAATTCTTGTCACCTTAACAGGTTAAGGATAGTTTAGAGAAGCAAATTGAGGATTCTGCTAGCATTAACGCAAAACTGTCAACACTCCAAAAGGTGACTTTTAAATACCAAATCCATCATGGTTCATTTTTCATCGACTACCCTTTCTTTACCTCTCTGTATGTATCTTTTTAGTATTTGATGGAACACCAATTATCAGTAACTTTTCTCAATATTTGCTGAGAATAGCTTCATTATTGTACTAATATACTTTGCTTCTGTTGAAACTGAACCAAACCGTGCTTTTTCTTATCAAACCCTAAAAACTTCATCAGAAGCAGTTCTTGGGGCTTATTTGAAAGGATCTATTGTGCATATGTGTTTGTATAATGACCCCTGAATCTTTTTTCTGCTTTATTGATCAAAGAAGACCACATAATTCCAGGGTATTAAATCAAACTTAGAAATGTATCTTTTGTTTTATTTTGATTTGATTTCTGACAAGTTCTCAATGTACTAGGAAAACACTGCATTGGTTGAACAGGTGGAACTCTTAAATAAACAGCTAGTGACTGCGAAGTTGAAGTGCGGCCAAATATAGGATAATTGATTCCTGAAACTTTAACATTGGGTTGAGTGGATCTTTCCATTGCTTTCTAGCTGTTGTCGGAGAGAAGTATTGGGTCACAATTTTTGCTGAGTTTACAGCTTCCAATCCACTTCAGGAAAAAAAGCTATTTTTTTAAGATGCCATGCCTTACCAGCTATTTACAGGACCAATTAGTTATCATTTTTTTCAGCTAAGGGGCATCCAAGGAGTGGCAAAACCGTTGCTCTTTTCAAGAGAAGAATCTGTTTTCCTTTCTTGAGGTTTACTGTTTACGCTGAGAAGAGGGTGCTTGGTCAATTTTGCAGTTGTTTGATGCCAAATAATTTAATTTTTTTCTTTTATTTGAAATAATTATTTTTTGTAATGCATTTTTTTTAACAGTTTTGAAGTGTTATTTTTTGTTGAAGAGATAATTTTGCTGGTTTTTTAGTGGTAATATTATCTTGTCTTTTCTGGAGATCCGTACTGTTGCTAATTCATGTTGTCAAGGCTCGATTGCATCACTAGGTGCAACACTGTTAATTCTAACATGCTCATTATCGAAATATATGTACATTTATAGGAAAGAGGGGGGGAACAACAAACATATGCTGCTGCTTTGTTTGGCAAATTATTGAGTGTTGAAACTCAGAAATTATTAAAGGCAAATGAAGATAAGAGAATATAAATGAACTTCTATCTGTTATCCGGTAATGAAGATTGTTGATGCTTGTTTTTGGATACCAACGACTCACACATGCAAAGCGTTAAGAGAATCTTAGAAATTGCACATGATGGATCCATGAGATTTAAATATGGTGCTGAGATTATATATGTTGCAGGAAACATAAATAATAGGTTAACAAGAGAGGTTTTTATAGTGGTTCGGATGCTTAAAGTAAATCATATATTCACTGTTATTTTGTATTCGCTGGCTATTTCTATGATATTGCCCGTAAGGCATACAAAGATGGAGAAACACTTTGTTTACAGAGAGAAATAATGAAGCTCAAATTTATGCCTAGCTCTCATATGCCCAACCCCCCCTTTCGTGAAGAGAAGTGTCAATTTATACATCTTTGAGGTCAATGTAATGAGTGTTTTGCAAGTTGCCTTGACACATGGAGAGCTCTCATCCGTTCATCTCTTGAAATGAGATAGGGTTGGTATGAATATTTTTGAGGAGGTATGAGCTTAACAGCTAGTACAAAAAGACATTTATTGAGTTGACATTAGCGTGACTTTTTAGGCATAACAGAAGCCCCCCAGTTTTTGGAGTACGTAATCGCGCTTCAAAAACTCAGGTCTTTGATCTGAATGGTTGTTGCACTATAGGCTGTAGTCTCGAATTGAAGAGCTCGAACTATGCTTGGCGCGATCGAGTGCTGAGAGCTTGGAGCGATCCAAAGCTGAGCGCGATCTGATAATTGAGATGAAATGTCTAGTAGATGAATTCCTGGAGAGCGCTAACGTCAGAAGCCCAAACACACGGCTTAGAGGCCTTAAACAGATAAGTCAACTTAAAACAGCCATAACTTTTTATCCGGGAGGATTTTTGGGGCCTGTAAGATATCCATAGAAAGCTTGTTCTGAGCTCTACATCGTGGTAACTGGGAAACCCAGTTGGGGCTATTTTCGAGGCCAAAATCCACCGTTTCAGCATGTTTCGAGGCTATTTTGAGTTTTCTACGCGTTTTTTCTGACGCTGGCAACTGGTCACAATCTAAGAACACGACCTGATGTTGTTCGCAATATCAGAGCTAAAAGCTGATCGCGATTTGAGAGCTAGGAGCTAATTGCGATCTGATAGGAGCTCGACCTGAGAGTTTGAGGCATGCGATCTGAACGATCTAATGCACACAATCTCAAGTAAATGAGCAAGCTTATGAGCTCAATTAGAGACCATAAAGAGCTCAATCAGAGAGCACAAAAAGCTTGATCTGAGCATAAAGAACTCGATCTGAGAGCATAAAGAGCTCGATCTGAGATCATAAGGAGCTCAATTTGAGATCATAAAAGGCTCAATCTAAGATCATAAGGAGCTTGATCTGAGCATAAAGAGCTCGACCTGAGATCATAAGGATCTCGATCTGAGAACTTGAGAGCTCTTTACTATCTAAGAGCTTAAGGAGTTCAATCAGAAAATAGGAGTTTGAGTCAGAAAGCGCGGAGCTGGATCTGAGAACAAGAGATCAGCGATCTAAGCGTGCGATCAGCGATCTGGCCACGTGATCAGAGAACTTTGACCACGCGATCTAAAGCTGAAGATTAAGACGATCTGAACGTGCGATCAGCGATCTGAAGCTAAAGATCAAGACGATCTGAGCATGCGATCAGCGATCTGAGCACGCGATCTGAAGCCGAAGATCAGGACGACCTAAGCATGCAATCAGCAATCTGGCCACGTGATCTGGGCGACCTGAACGCGTGATCTCAACGATCTTGAATGCGCGATTTGAAGTTAAAGATCAGCGATCTGAAGTCGAAGATCAGGATGACTTGAGCGTGCGATTAGCGATATGGCCACGCGATCTGGGCGACCTGAACACATGATCTCAACGATCTAGAATGCGGGATTTGAAGCTAAAGATCAACTATCTAAAGCTGAAGATCAGCAATCTGAACACGCCATCGGAGAACTTTTATGTGTGCAATCTGCAATCTGGGCACGCAATTGGAGAACTTTGATATGTGCGATCTGCAATCTGACCACGCCATCGAGGAACTCCAACGCAGGTTTGAGACCTGCATGGGCCACCAAACTGTTGATGCTTGATTTTGGACACCAACGACTCGCACGTGCAAAGCGCTAAGAGAGTCGTAGAAATTGCACATGATGGATCCATGAGATTTGAATATGGTGCTGAGATTATATATGTTGCAGGAAACATAAATAATAGTCTAACAAAAGAGGTTTTTATGTTGGTTTGGATGCTTAAAGCAAATCCTACATCCACTGTTATTTTATATTCTCTAGCTATTTCTATGATATTGTCCGTAAAGCATACAAAGATGGAGAAACACTTTGTTTACAGACAGAAATAATGAAGCTCAAATCTATGTCTAGCTCTCATATGCTCAGCCCCCCCTTTCGTGAAGAGAAGTGTCAATTTATACATCTTTGAGGTCAATGTAATGAGTGTTTTGCAAGTTGCCTTGACACATGGAGAGCTCTCGTTCGTTTATCTCTTGAAATGAGATAAAGTTGGTATGAATATCTTTGAGGAGGTATGGGCTTAACAGCTAGTACAAAAAGATATTTATTGAGCTGACATCAACGTGACTTTTTAGGCATAACAAAGATGGTTGAATGGAAAGGAAACAATGATAAATTATAGGATCTGTGGCAGTTTTTTTGTTATATGTTTGTGTCATATTATCGTGCTTTGTTGTGTTTTCCTTTTTATCTTTATGCTTTTTCTTCCTCCTGAAGAAAACTAAAGTGCATTAAGAGCAAACTTAGGCCCCTTCTTCTCATAGAAAAATATGGTCTTGTGCTCTAAGCCATTGTTATAATGAGTTTTCTTCATCTTGAATGGATGCCAGAGTTTATTTTTCAGGTCCTATTTTCCCTTCAAGTTTTAATAGATCTAACTAACTATTAGTGGATTTTCAATTTTTTTCTTATTAGCTCTTAAATATCGGTAAATCACATCTCTGTGAAATCAAAATACATTTTTGTTACCTTTATGAGTTTGCAGGATGTAAAAATGTTGCACTTTGGCCTCTTTTTGTAGGCTACCTCTCAATTCTCAGTTGCTTAAAAATTTTGAACATGAAGTCATAATTCAGAACCTGTTATATTGGATAATCAGTTATTATAGTTAAATGCATGGCAGATATTATATCTCTAGAAATTATTCCTAATTTACACAAAGATAGCTAGCTATTCTTGATTTTGGGTGCTTGTTGAACAATCAGGATTTGTTGTTGAGTCAGTTCTCAGTTCCTTGAGAAACCTTGATAGCGTCTGCACAAATACCTCATTGTTGTCAGGTTGACTCGAGGAGACTGGAGTGGTTGCATTACTTCTTCCCACAGAACTCTACAAAACCAATAAAGGTATTGCATAAATTGTAGTTTTCAAAAACTAGGCACAAAACAGCAGGTTTCGGCAACTTACAGATGCTACCCTTCTTCTCTTCTGTGGCTTGGTTCTGGCATTCATCATCTCAACCAGTTGATCAAACTGAAACTCCATTCACACCCCAAAATTTTTAAATCAGTTCCTGGTGAATTCAAACCCTTAAATATAATTAAAAGTACATAGAAGCTTCATTCTGGTGAGATACCTGCTTTAACATTTTGGCATACTTCCTAACGCATTGATAGAACCTTCTTTCGTCTTCTTGTTCATTGGTGGACATAATGAAGAAGGAAGAGATTCAGTCTTTGTTAGATTTTGGTTTCGGATAATTATAGTAGTAGTTATGGTGATTAATATATATATAGCTGTTTAAGAGCATGTTATTAACATGAAATGGGGGTTGCTTTGCTTTTACTTAAGATATCTGATAAAAGGCCGTTACTACCGACCTCGACAGTTATTACCGCCAATTTTAGTCTTCTCTTCTCCTATACGCATTGTAAACGAAGTTCTTGTGAATAAAAAACTTGGTCAAAACTTTCACACATATATTTGCTAACTACTTCCATAAACAACTAACTCAGTCAATGACAGTAACAGATTATAAACCACATTCCATAATAAGAGTTTTACACTTTATTAATTAATAAAGTAACTACACGCCACATAAAAACCCCAATTCAACACTTCCCAGATGAAAGAACGATTCATGTGACAACAAAATCAAAGAACGTGTAAATCATGAACTGTGGTCAAGAATTTTATGAAACAAAAGCAGCAGCTTGGAGGTGTGAACGTAAAACGGTAAAAGTAAAACCATTATGTTATGTCATGACCGACGGTTTCGGAACAAATGTAACAAAGACATGACGTTGAAACTAATGAGAATATGAATGAACATTTCACTTCAACGTAAAAAAGTTTTACTTGTGAATATCCAACGTAACTGCATATGAATATGAACATTTCGTGTGTAGCATTCCTCTAAAGCAACAACCGGGTTTGAAAGGCGAAGAAAGTATAATCTCTACAACTAATAACAGGAACAACCAATAATATAACAGCAGAAGATAATGTGGAATGGATAATTAATTAATTATGCCATCTTCACTATGAACATACCATAAACCACAATACCCCAGAAGAAAAGGCGAAAAAATCATTTCAAAGAAGTTGTTCTGGATTCTATGTTTCTTGCATATGAAATACTCTAGCAAAACTTTATCTATTTACACTATAGGAGCAACTAATTGACCTCCATTGTTGGAGTTCCATAGGAAAACTCTGTGCATCAAAGTTAGACTCGTTTGCTGATTATAGATTCCATAAACCCAAATTTACTGGGAAGCCAATGACCAGAAGTTCAAGAGAAAGGACGGTGATATGGCAAACCAGCTGATAAAAGCCATTGCTGTAGCTGTCTCAAACCTTGTGCAGTGGTTCACAGCACATCTATTAAGATCATTGCCGATGAGGACTGTGATGCCTGCCGATGCACAAGCAGCTGCAAATGTAAGAGTGGATGTGATCTGCATCAAGAAAACATCCATTTCTTTAAGCTTGAAGTGAAAGAAAATCTAATTTCAGGTTATGAAGGCAATTGTTAGATATCCCAGTCTTTAAACATCCTAAGGTTTTTAAATCAGAAAAGAAGAAAAAATAAGAATGATGAGTATCATACAAATGGTTACATTACCCAATTAATGTCTAAATTATCTACTATGAGCAAGGTAATACCTTTTATATAGGGTGTAAAGAAGGAATTCCTGTTCAAGCATGGATTAGAACTGAAACACGTTCAAATTAGAAATTCAAAATGGAAAAATATGAGCAACTAGTTTTACCAAGCACCTTTTTTTTTTTTTTTTTTTCCTTAAAAAGTATTGGAATTAATTGGAATCCCTTCTCTTGAAAACTTCATATTAGATTTCATTTTCTCTTTAAAGAGTCATGTCAGTCAAGAAAAGGGTATGCTTTGTCACTGGAAATTGCAACAAGTTTATGTGTATCTATGCTATTTTCAGTATCATTTTTTTAAAAGATTTAAACCTAAAACTCAATATTATCTCCACCAACCGAAATTACACACTACTCCCTCTATTGGCCCCCTTGACCCATCAAATGCTAGAAACTACAAAACTATTATAGAAGGCATAATAAAACTAGTTCAATCCTAAAGACAACGAGAAATAAAACCTTTGAGATTATAATAACAATCCACATGCTTGCATACTCAACTCAGTCAAAGCCAATTGTTGAATAACAAAAACATAATACAAATATTTGCAAGAAATGAAAATATGAATTTATAGCAGATAGATTAACCTTCACAAACAGCAGACACTGACACCAGGCAATAAGTTCTTGTATATAAAACCATAACCCCCGCAGGACATCAATCAATATCAAAGCTCATTATTATTAATTCACGAAATGATAAAATGATACTGAACATACAGGTAGCTATTCCTAGAGTTTTAACTAGCAACCACCTGACACATAACCAACAACAATTCCATAAAATGCATATCTGGAGACTTGCTAGGTTAATAATAGAAGGTTTCTTACCCCATCACCAATGGTAAATAAACGCATAATTATGTTGCTTCGTAAGCTTCGTTTCACCAAGATGGCATATATGTCAAGAACTGCCAGGGACAGACTCCACAAACTTTGGAAGCCAACAGCAAGAACTAAGTAGCTGATGCAGTAAAATGAATAATAAATTTAAATCATTTTCATGTTACCTGTTTCAATATATATACACTTTTCAACTGAAAAGGAAAAAAAAAAAAAAAAAAAAGAGGAAATTAAATGCAAGAAACCATCTTCTCATATTGAAAATAAACAAACATCTCTTCTAATTTACAAACCAAGCATCATACATGCAGGACAGCACAAACTTAAATGAAAATGGATTTCGTCCCGAGTTTACGAATTAATCCGATGCTGAAATAGAATAATGTAAACAAATTAATTCTTGTCAAAAAACAAAATAGCCTACAAGATTTAATCCATAGACATACAATCACAGAATATATACACAATGATTGGAGAGACATATAAAAGAAATTCGCAACACCAAGGTAAGGATGATAAAGCAGGCCATTAAGAAGACACATGATGCTAACCTATTCCTCCTGTTTATCCACATTTGGCCTCTATAGCAATCGGAATCAAATTTCCTATAAACTTCTTAGATTTTCATCATAACATTTTATTAAAGAAAAAAAAATTAACATTGATTAAGCTCAGTTACTGAAGTTACAACTTGGGGCTCATTTCAGAAATGAATCTAACATAAAACAAACAAAAATGGTGCCTTCACTGTCTAAAATCAAAGAAAACCTTATAATAAGCATCTCTAAAACAAAACAGAACCCTGAAATCTAAAGGAACAAATAATTACCAAAACGCGGTAGCTTCATGAAAGTCACTGGTGGAGGCCATGACACACAGAGAGATGAATGAAAAAACAAACTGACAGAGACGAAGAATCAAGCCGCCACGTGTCCCAGGCATGCCTTGGACGTCCTTCATTCTGAGTCTGGGACCATTCTGGATAGCCGCCTCCGTCAAAGGGGGGGCCTCCACTGGGTGCACCGCCGGCCGGCTCAAGTTCATAGCTTTCGATTAAGCCCCGATTAGTCAATCAACCAATCATCAAACCCAACAGCAAATTTTGAAATGGTTGAGGGGAATCAAGTGAAAGAGGAAAGTTGTGTACATTTGCTAATATTATGCCGTACTGAAAGTTGCCTCACTGGGCTACAGCATATGATTCATTCAGCTCCGTTAAATTTGAACCGTTGATACAAGAAAAGGAATGAAGTGCTCAGTGGGTTCCATAGAATGGACGGTTTGTATTAATGGTTATGATTCTCATTGGTTCTTTTTACTTTTCATTGTAAAAAGTAGGGAATGCAGCTGGCTTAAGTATGATAAGGTTTTATGGTAAATTGAGTGAAAGATTGGAGTGTTTGTATTAGCTTCTACGACAATAAACGACGCTGTTATAGTAATTATTTTGTTGAACCACCACTTCAAGTTCAAAACGTGAAGTCAACCGTCAAACTATTCGAGTCGAAGTCAGCAAGGATTTATATATATTCTATATATATAGCTGTTAGTTTCTCATTTTATATTTAATTTCCTAATTTTAGATTACTACACACGAAACGAAATTATAATACGGTTTTTTTTTTATTTAGTAATAGTGGGTTTGACCTTTTTGCCTTTTGGAGTACACCTTTTTTGTGGAGCATCTAGCTTTAGAAAAATTATCCCAACTCTCGCGTGTTTGGTTTGATGGTTTTCTTTTATATTATCTACTAGTTTAGTAAGTGTAACTATAAGTTTCTAACCACCTTTTTTATAGTGAGTATCGGTTGATTTTTGTAACATTATCAATTCAATTTTCAAATTTATCATCAATTTTATCAATTCAATCTCTAAAATATATATATTAATTTCTCAATATTATTGGTAGCTTTTGAATGTTATACTGATTGAATTTGAATTAATAATAAGAATATCATTTTTCTTTAAACTTAAACAAAATAACTGAACGTTACGTGAATATTAGAGGTTATGGTCACATTTTTTAAACTAAAGGGGGTACTCACTATAGAAAAAAACAAATACACTTCTCAAAACCAATGGATACTCAAATAAAAAAAATGCCCAAGACATGAGATATATGTACTCTAAATTATGCATTATAATATTTGTATAATAAGTGTTGCTGGAATTGTTGCAAAATATTGGATTCCCTCTGATTATGTTAAATACAAATTTGGTGCTTGTCAACTAAAATGCACGTAATTCCACCCACCAAAGCGATTTTTTTAATAAAATTAAAATTGACTTGTTTTCTTTTTTTTTCATATTTTGCCCTGCTCCTTGGAATAATCTCTTTCACATCAATTCAGATTGATTTTAAATGATTTTTTTTTTTTTTTAATCTAAGATAAAGGGATTGAAATTTATAAACGAAAATAGAGTTTAATATGAAGTAGATTTTTATTTTTCTTTCTTGTAATTTCATTTACGATAAAATTGTAATTACATAATAGGTGGGTTTCAATAGCATCTCTTGAAAAAAAAAAATTATTCTTTATCAAAATTTTCCATATTCATCCTCTCTCTTATATTATATACGGATTCTATGTATTCTATTTATTTAAATGAAAGACTTCATTCTAATCCGATGAGTTGCGCTATTAAATGTACAGATATGTATTGATTTGAATCTGTTAAAAAAATAGTGAATTCCAACGCAAACTCATTTCTTGGCCAAACATGTCTTCAGTTGAGCATAACCCAATGTGATGAGAAAACCATTAAAATGCTGTAAAACCAAACCATGAGTTGCACAAACAATGTGTAAACCCCGATCCTTTCCCTTCCATTCCCAATCCATTTCCCATTTACTAAGTAAACACCATGAATATTGATACTAAAATCTCATAATTATGCAGAGATAAGGAAGCTTGATAATTCAAGTCACTGATATATAACACATTGAAACCCAGAATATATTAAAAACCAGAGAAATTTATTGATAGATTAACTTAAATGTAAAGTTCTAATTGCCATATTAGGCATACTACAATCATATCAGCAATTCAATCACAACAACGACGCACTTGACAGACCACACACAAGACACAAACGACCCAACCAATCCACCATGCTAGACAACGGCCTTAGAAATCACCACCGCGGAGACGGAGCACCAGGTGAAGGGTTGACTCCTTCTGAATGTTGTAATCAGCCAGAGTACGGCCATCCTCCAGCTGCTTTCCAGCGAAGATAAGCCTCTGCTGATCCGGTGGAATCCCCTCCTTGTCCTGAATCTTTGCCTTCACATTATCAATCGTATCGGAGCTCTCCACCTCCAACGTAATAGTCTTTCCGGTCAACGTCTTCACAAATATCTGCATACCTCCCCTCAAACGCAGCACCAAATGAAGTGTTGACTCCTTTTGGATGTTGTAATCCGCCAGGGTCCTCCCATCCTCCAGTTGCTTTCCTGCAAAAATCAGACGCTGCTGGTCTGGTGGGATACCCTCCTTGTCCTGGATCTTTGCCTTAACGTTGTCGATGGTGTCGGAGCTCTCTACCTCAAGAGTAATGGTCTTTCCGGTGAGGGTTTTGACGAAAATCTGCATTCCTCCACGGAGACGGAGGACGAGGTGTAGAGTTGACTCCTTCTGGATGTTGTAATCGGCCAAAGTACGGCCGTCTTCAAGCTGCTTGCCGGCGAAGATCAGTCGCTGCTGGTCCGGTGGGATTCCTTCCTTGTCTTGTATCTTGGCCTTGACGTTGTCGATGGTGTCGGAACTCTCAACCTCGAGAGTGATTGTCTTTCCGGTGAGTGTTTTGACAAAGATTTGCATGCCTCCACGGAGACGGAGGACAAGATGGAGCGTGGACTCCTTCTGGATGTTGTAGTCGGCCAAAGTTCGGCCGTCTTCGAGTTGCTTGCCGGCAAAGATCAGACGCTGCTGGTCTGGTGGTATCCCCTCCTTGTCCTGGATCTTGGCCTTGACGTTGTCGATGGTGTCAGAGCTCTCGACCTCAAGAGTGATGGTCTTTCCGGTGAGTGTTTTGACGAAGATTTGCATCCCTCCACGAAGACGGAGGACAAGATGGAGGGTTGACTCCTTCTGTATGTTGTAATCGGCCAAGGTACGGCCGTCCTCGAGTTGCTTTCCGGCGAAGATCAGACGTTGCTGGTCCGGTGGGATCCCTTCCTTATCCTGAATCTTTGCCTTGACGTTGTCGATGGTGTCGGAACTCTCGACCTCGAGAGTAATGGTCTTGCCGGTCAAAGTTTTCACAAAGATCTGCATCTGAAACCATAAAAAATAGCACAAGCAAACAAATCAGAAACAAAGACAGAAAATAAAATAAAAAGATAAATTTAAAAGAAAATAAAGATAAATTACGTTGAGAGGATTTGGAGCTAGCTTTTGAAAAACGAGAAAGGGGGATGAAGAAGAATGAACGAAGAAACAAAGAAGAGGGAGACGATATATATAGGAGAAAATGGCGAATGAGGCGGCGAAATATCGTCACCTAACCCAAGAAGATAATGCAAATGGTATACGTAAGAGAAGGATCACCGTTCATTTACCTGACCCTTACGCTAAAGTTAGGTTATAAAAGACAGAAGAAGGGCCCACGCGCTCCTCTCTAGAGTCTCCACCACCGCCGCAGTATTATCCACCAATAATACAACTAATTTTTTAATACCAAGTTGCCCTACAAACTCAAACGGCTATTTTTCTTGTGAACTTATAAATACTTAATGCCGTAACTTGTACGCAATCGTATGTCAAAAGTTTATTAAAATAAATAAACAAATGTAAAATTGGATTAGCAAGAGCATTCCTTAAAACAATAATGCTACATTTACACAAAGTGCTTACACCCTTTTTTTTTACTCCATGATGTGGCATCCTATATGGCATATATCACCTCAGCTATCATATCATTAAGATACCACGTCACTTTCCTCCAAATTTTAAAAAAAAAAAAATCTACAAAAAAACCCAAATTTTCACCTAAAATTTCAAACACTAATTTCTCTAAATCAGTTTCATATCTCCCAAAACAAAGAAACCCAAAAATTTCTCCAAAAAATCCTGTCAACTTTGAAAATCCAGCTCAATCTCTAATCACAACTTGTTCCCACGGAATCCAGCGGCCATCCAAAATCGATTTGGGGTGTTGGTTGTGTGGCTACTGCTTGGAGTGTGGATTTCGTGGCTGCTGCTTGGGGTGTGGGTTGTGTGGCTGCTGCTTGTGGTGTCAATTTCGTGGCTGCTGCTTGGGTGTGGATTTCGTGGCTGCTGCTTGTGGTGTCAATTTCAGGGCTGCTGCTTGGGGTGTGGGTTGTGTGGCTACTGTCCTTGATCCCATGGAGTATGTAGGTTGTTTTATTTTAATCCTTCCCCCATTTTAGGACCCAATAGGAGTAGTTTGCTTGTATCATTTGCCGGTTAAATATATATACATACTATTATTTTGCTTATATCATTTTTTGGTTAAATATATACACATACTTTTGGAATCTAATGATTGTGTAATATTTGCAACATTCATGTAAGAGGAATGATATATTATATTGCCTAATGTGATATATTTTCAAGAACAAATTTATCGTAGTTCGTTAGGAAGATGCAACTTAAGTTTTTACTTATTCTGATTTAGACTTCTGTTGTCAGTTGTGATGAAGTTGCTTGTTTGACAATTTAGGAAACTTTGGTTTGTGAATTGGGAATAAATTTGAACATTTGTGAGGTTGGCACCTAGTGTATTTCAAGTGATGGTCTACTGTCATTTTTTGTAATGAAAGATTTTTTTTATATGTAGACTTGTTAAATAAGCAAGTCCCCACAACCAATCCTAGCCGGTTTACACATGGAGGAGTGCAGCCAGAAAAAAGTAGATAATTATTCCCCAGAAATCAATGTGATTGAGGTATTCTTGTAATTGTTATCTATTTGTTTTAAGCATTAATATGATCTTAATTCCTTTAATGGTATTATTTGCACCTTTTTTTTTGTGTTGGGGGGTGGAATGTTATATACTAATTCTTTGCAATTATAATTTGTGTATTGTAGGGTAATGATGCACAACAAATAGGGGATAGAAGTAGTGCGGAAGATGAAGGTAAGCCTAAGCCTGGAATGTTTTTTGAATCATTTGATAAGTTTCTTCAATACTACCGGAGCTATGGAAATAAAATGGGGTTTGAAGTTACAATAAGATCTTCAAGGAAAGGAGATGATGGGGAGTTGATTTATGCGAACGTTGCCTGTTGTTGCGGTGGAAAGCGAGATAGTAACTCCAAAAATATCTTTAAATTGCATCCGTTGACAAAAAGTGGTTGTAAGGCTCGTAGTACTGCCTCTCGACGTTCAGATGGTAAATGGGAAATAGTGTCAATCATCTATGAGCATAACCATGAACTCATAAGTCCTAGCAAAACAAGATTTTTCAAGAGCAATAGATTTATACAACCACATGTGAAAAGAAAGATTGAAGTGAATGATAGAGCGGGGATTAGACCGAGTAAGAATTTCAATTCCTTTGTAGTTGAAGCTGGGGGTGTTGAGAATTTGAGTTTCTTACAAAAGGATTGTAGAAATTACATTGAAAAAGTTAGGAAGATCCGACTTGGTGATGGTGATGCTGTTGCGTTACAGAAATATTTTTTGAAAATGCAAAAAGATAATCCCAATTTCTTTTACGTTATGGATTTAGATGATGATGGTCGATTGCAAAATGTTCTATGGGTGGATGCAAGAAGCAGAGCCGCATTTAGGGAATTCGGCGACGTTGTGACATTCGACACGACGTATTTAACCAACAAATATGATATGCCGTTTGCTGCGTTTGTCGGTGTTAACCATCATAGCCAATCCACATTATTAGGTTGTGGGTTAATCTCTCACGAGGACACAAAAACTTTTGTTTGGCTTTTTGAAATGTGGCTTGCTTGTATGGGAAATTCTACTCCTAAGGCAATAATCACAGACCAGGACAGGGCTATGCAAAATGCTGTCGAGATTGTGTTTCCCGATACAAGACATAGATGGTGTTTGTGGCATATTATGAAGAAGTTGCCGGAAAAGTTAAAAGGTTATAGGGAATATGAACATATAAAGTTTACTTTGCAAAATGTTGTATATGATTCATTGACATGTGAGGAGTTTGAAGAATGGTGGAATTCATTCATTGAAAAATACAACCTGCACGACAATGATTGGTTATCTGGTTTGTATAATGAAAGATATCGTTGGGTGCCGGCATTTGTGAAAGGTACTTTCTGGGCGGGAATGTCTACTACGCAACGTAGTGAAAGTATGCATGCCTTTTTTGATGGGTACGTAAATTCAAAAACGACATTAAAACAATTTGTAGAACAATATGAGAATGCATTGCGTGATAAAGTTGAAAAAGAAAATGAGGCTGATTTCAAATCGATCAAATCATCGATCCCTTGTATAAGCATTTATCCTATGGAGAAACAATTTCAAGAGGCATACACTACTGCAAAATTCAAAGAGTTTCAAAAAGAGCTTGCAGGTAAGCTCCATTGTGAGATATATTCTTTGAAGGATATAGAGTCCAAACTTGAATATGTTGTGAAGGAAGATGTAATGGTTGGAGAGACATACCGTCGGGTTTCGTTTGTGGTTTGGTCTGAGAACCGTTGTTCTGAGGCTTGTTGCAATTGTCGATTGTTTGAGTTTAAAGGGATTTTATGTCGACATGCAATTGCAGTATTGATACATAATGAAATTTCTCTTATCCCTGAACAGCACATTTTAAGGCGTTGGAGGAAAAATATATTCAGATGCCACATGAAAGTTAGGGTAAGTTATAATAGTTTGAGCACTAGTGCTGAAGGTGAACGATTTGACCAATTGTCTAATTCATTTAGTGAGGTGGCGGACTTGGCATCAACCAGTGTTGATGATTGTAATATGGTGATGCAAATGATAAGTGACATGAAGAAGAAATTATTGTTGAATTACAATGTTGGGGGGATTGATAGAAGTGTTAACGTTGCATGTAAAAGAAAAATTCACTTTGATAGTGTTGATTGCACTTCTGTACAAGTTAGCAATAAAATCATGACTCCACGGGCTGTTCGTTCTAAAGGTCGACCTCCATTCAAAAGAAAGCAATCGAAGGTCGAGCAAATTGTTCGAAAAAGGAAGAAATTGCTTAACCAAGTGAGTGTAACTTCTTCATCATTAATGTCTACAACACTTTTACTAAATGTTATGAAGATGTTACGTTTATATTTAATTGTAGGGTGGGAGTTCACAAGAATCAAATGAAGCTGATGTAAATGATATTAACTTCCACAATCATGATGCAGGAGTCTATGTTTTAAGTCAGGTAAGAATCCTTTATTTTATAAGATGTTTTTGTTGTAACTAGAACCTTGTTTTAAGGTAAAAAATTAATGTTATTATGTTTTCACTGGTCAGGGTTATAATGGCATGTCAATAAGTTTGAGGCCATCACTTGGAGATGCATCGCTTGGAGATGCAGAGTAGCCGATCGTTAGTAACAATGTGGAAAATTGCTTACAAGCAATCACAATTTTTGACTTGTATATAGGAACAATATATTATAGGAGTAGGAAAATCCTTTTTGATATGCAGCGGGTCTTTTTTGATAGCTGCTTCATGTGTATAGTTGTGCAGACTATTTTTTTGCTTCGTCGCAAGGCCTGCCCTTTTTGTGCTTCTGGTCTGCTTGTTTTAGGCTTCTGCGAGACTAGCTCGCTGGTATATAGGATTGTAGATCCTTGTCTTTTTGCTGCCCGAGGAGCGTGTTTGGGAGGGGACTTAGGGGTTAGTATGGTTGGTGAGGTCGCTGGGGCTTGGCGTGTGTATAATATGGGAGGTGTTCTGTTGTTTGCCCATTTGTTGGTTGCTGGTCTGGTTGTTTGGGCAGGTGGAGTTTGGGTTGTGGGTGATTGGGGCTAGGCACTTTGGGTGATTTTATGGTTTTGTTGTGAGGCGGTGTTTCTTTTTGGCTATGGATGGTTTGCTGGTCTTGGGTTTGGTTGTGCGGATATGGTGTTGTGCAGGTTGCTATTGTTGGGGGTTTTGCTGCTGCTTATGGGGTGCTTTTGTTGCTGCGACTGGGGCTGTTGCTGCTGGGGCATTTGTTTGCTACTACTAGGGTTTGTGTTGTTGTTCCTGGGTTGATCTGCTGCTGTTGTTGGAACCTTTTTGCTGCTGCTGCTGTTATTGGAGCCTTTTTGCTACTGTTGGTGTTCTTTTTTCTGTTTTTGGGGCTGTCGTTGGTGGGGCTTTGTTTTGCTGCTGCTGGGGCTTTTGCTACTGCTCTTGGGTTTTTTTCACTGCTGCTGCTGGGGCTTTTTGTTACTGCTGTTGCTGGTGGTCTTTTAGCTGCTGTTGCGGGTACTACTGTTGGGACTTTTTTCTGCTGCTGTTAGGGCCTGTTAAGGGCTGTTGTGCTTAGGTGCCCCTAGCTGGTTTTTATTTTGCTCTTGGGGCTTGATTGGGTGTCTATAGGGTTGTGCATCCTGGTTTTCCCTTGTCTCTGATTGTTTGTTTCATCCCTCTCTTGTAAATAAGGGCATGCAACTTAGGTTTTTTTTTTTTTTTATCTTGTAGGATATTCTTTAATCTTTGTATAAAATTATAAGTTACCTAAAAAAAAAGGTTATATACTAATTGACCAAAACTGTCTGTTTTTGGTCCTTTTAGGTGGAAGACAACATTGGTCTACATTACCATCCATGCATAATAATATGTGCATTTATACAGATAATAACGATGTGAAATTTATACATTATCATAAAGCCTCAATTTCGTTCATTACAAGCAATCTGGGAATAAATTACAACTGAATCATTAAAATTAGGGTAATCTCCCCTAAAGAGTGAAACTTGTGATAAAATACAAGGAATACATTACAAGGGACCAAACTACACAAAAAGAAACAAAACCAAGCAAGGATTTACAATCCTTATACACAAAAGCAACACAAACACAAGACAACCAAACTGAAGACTCCAGCCAGAAACTGCAGAAAATGCAGCAATCACGCTGCAGCTCCATACAAACCACTGTCCAGATCACTACTTCAATTCTAGCACACACCACCCTGCACATACTGCCCAAGACTCTTGGAAACTGCAGAAACAAACTGCAACCTCTCACATCTGCTCAATCTGCACAATGTAAAAACTACAACATGCCCAAGCTTCATTTCCAGCACCTACCAATCTGCACCAGTTGCACAAAAATTATGGACTCTGCATAAAATGTAGTAATCTAAAGTAACAATGCATACACTAACAGATTAATAGAAACTATTTTCTTTGGCAAAATTGATGAAGAACGTTCCCAAATGATAACATTCCCAAGCAGTCAGTATATCCACAAAAATATCAGGCCATCATGGTTGTCTCTAACCTTCTTGTGGCTATCTCTTATGCTTCGTGGGGTACAAACAAAGAAAAACTTATGAAGAGAAAAACAAGAATTGATTTTTCATTAACCAAATAAAACTGATACAGAGGTAGGCTTTTATAAGACCAATTAACTCTCATTTACATTTTTATTCTAACATTCCTCCTCAAACTAAACATCTTCTAACTTTTCCAGTTTTCAGTAATGCAGCATCTTAAAACAAAAAAAATCTTTTCTGCATTAACTAAACTTCTTTGCAGCAACATTCTCTGCATTAGCTAAATCTTCTCCGCAGCAACATCCTTTAATAACCAAAAATGACTTCAGCAATCCCTGTCCAACCGAAGTTCAATATGACCATGGGTTCTCCAACCATTAGATCATTTATAGGGAGCTCTAATCGTGTGAAGATGAATTAGGTTCAAAAATCAGACATTTGTTTGAAAGCACTGCAAGTGAGTTGAAGAGAACAAAATTAAAGTCCCATATAACCACAACACAACTTCAAAATTGGATTTTCAGCAACCAAAACTGACCTTCAATAACCACATTGCCATTCAGACTTGTTTGCAGAAATAATTTTGTATATCATTTAAAGAAACCATAACACAAATCTAAATTAAATAAAGAAATCAACATGCAAACATACATGCATTGACCAAAACTTCATCCTATTAGCCAGCTATGAGCTAAATTAGAAGCAAGAGTAAAATAATCAAAACTAGCGAAAACAACGACCAACAAAGCTTCCAGTATATCAAGCCAAACACTAACAAAATGAGAGTGCATTACACATGATTAATCATAAACATGCATATTTTATTTAGGAGAAAATATAGAAAAGCAAACTCAAATTACCATAAATGCTATAAAGTCTCCGGCTCTGAATTGAGAGTGTGATTTTGAAGCAGTGAGCTCTGATTTGCGACGGCAGCTTGTTCTGAAGACCTTCCCGTTTATACTTCTTTCACTCTCTTTATGGACTAGGCACCGTCTTATACTAATTCCAAGCACCAAGTTTTTGCTGCTTGAATCACAATAACAATTGATAATGAGGTTCCCCCAGTTGTAATGTTTTCCAGAGAAAGTTCATTACTATTTAAATAAATTTTGACTTCATATTTATTTCTTTTGTTTCGATTTTCTGGTCTAATACATCTGTGAGCTCTTAATGCCATTTGACTGCTTCTGCTTGTTCCATATATAGCGCAGAAATTGGATGCGTCCATTACTAAGGATGAAGTATCTGGACAAGATTTTTCCTGGAGATGATTTTCAACAGAAAATAAACCAAAAACCAGCGTCATGCTATCAACTCCTATACGATCCACGAATCACAAGGTTCAGTAATATTATTTTATGAAAAGTATTAAATTCGATAATGTTATGGAATGAGAATAAGCTATAAACATATTATACATTATTTCTAATATCAACTTTGACAGGCATGATCCACTAAATAAAAAAATAAAGAGAATAGAATCCTACCCATCTTTTACTTTCCATCTCTACCTGGTTAGAAATGGCGGTTGTGTATTGGATATCTTCGCTCCTTTGTTTGAGAATGTGACACAAAGTTTTTTCTTTGCTAGCTTACTCCTTTTGCCATCCAGATAAATCTCTACAAGTTACTCTGGCGAAGTTGCGACGGCAGCAGCGACTCGCGAGGTTTTAGGTGGTGGGGGCTAAATGGATTTTGCTAAATGGGTTAGGATTATTGTTTGGTTTGCAAATTTAGGGCAGATGAATTTTGGGAGGAGATTTGAATTTGGGGAAAAACAGGTTACTAAAATTTAAAAAAGAAATACATTTGGGAAAGTGAGGTGGCAACTTGCTGAAGTGTCAAATGAGGTGGTAATACCATGTCAGCTGCCACATCATGAAGTAAGAGGATCGTGTAAGGGTAGCATTACTGTTCCTTAAAATTTCACTGATTTTCAATTTAGAAATTAATAAATACTAGACATGGGCCGAGCGTTTTCCGAGTATACTTATTCAACTAGTTTAAGCCTCGGGCGACGGGCGTTGTGTGAGTTGTTTTTTGATATTATTTTTTTGTACATATTATTTATCTTTCGGATTGTTTATTTATTTATAAATTTTACGTGCAAAAACAATATTTTATTATGGGTATCTTTCTTTTTTATATTATATTAATGAATAATATTTTATTTTAATTACATATTACTTTTATGTGAAAAAACAATATTTTATTGTATTTATTTTATGATATATTGGACAATAGAATTAATAATAGTAATTTTTTTCATTATTACACATTTATATATATTTATTATTTAATCCAATTTGCTAAAATTAATTATAGTGAATATATATTGTCAAATATATTTAATTAAAAATGTTATTATTAATTATAGTCTTTTTTGAATTGGATATTTTTGGATTAACTTTAACTTGTTATTTTTTTAGACCGAATAGTTAATGCTCTTTCAGTTGTTGGGCCAAGTTTTATTTCAACTTTTTTAATGTTGTATGAATTGTTTGGCCCGGTTTTATTTTAAATTTGTTTACTATTTACTTAGGGTATTGTTCACCTTGCCGTCTCGTATCTATTTTTGTTTTTTGTTTTTTTTAGCATCTAAACAATATTTTGTAAGAATGTAACTAATATTTATTTTGTCACTTTTTTCTCTTTTTTTTGTTTGTAACTCTTTGTTT